ATGACCATACCTACCAACTGCTTAGCTCCCACTTATAGGTGAGAACATGTGGTATTTGGTTTTTTGTTCCTGAGTGAGTTCATTTAGAATAATGGCCTCTAGTTCCACCCAAATAATAATGCCGAAGACATTATTTCATTCTTGTTAATGACTGAGTAGCATTCCATGGTGTGTAGACACACACACACACACACACACACACACACACGACATTTTCTTTAGTTGCTCATAAGTTGGTGGTCAAAAAGATTGGTTCCATATCTTTGCAATTATGAATTGTGATGTGATAAACATACAGGTACAGGTGTCTTTTTTATAAAATAAATTCTTTTCCTTTGGGCAGATCCCTAGAAGTAGGACTGCTGGATTGAATGGCAAATCTCCTTTTCGTTCTTTGAAAAATTTCCATCCTTTTTCCCACAGAGGTTTTACTAATTTACATTCACACCAACAGTGTACAAGTAATCCCTTTTCACCACATCCATAACAACATCTATTGTTTTTTGACTTATTAATAATGTTCATTCTGACAGGGTAAGGTGGTATCTCATTCTGCTTTTAATTTGCATTTCTTTGACGATTAATGATGTTGAACATTTTTTCATATGTTTGTTGGTGATTTGTCTATCTTCTTTTGAAAAATATCTGTTCATGTCTTTTTCCCACTTTATAATGGGGTTATTTGTTTTTTTCTTGCATATTTCTTTGAGTTCATTGTAGATTCTGGATATTAGTCCTTTGTCAGATATATGGTTTGTGAATATTTTCTCTCATTCTGTAGGTTGTCTATTTTCTCTGTTGATTACTTCTGCTGTGCAGAAATTTTTTAGTTTAATTAAGTACCATTTGTTTATTTTGTTTTGTTGTATTTACTTTTGGGGTTTTCATCATAAATTCTTTGCCTAGGCCAATGTCCAGAAGAAGTTTTCCTATGCTTTCTTCTAGAATTGTTATGGTGTCAGGTCCTACATTTAATCTTTAATCCATCTTGAGTTAATTTTTATGCATGGTGAGAGATAGGGATCCAGATTATTCTTCTGCATGTGGCTCTCCAGTTTTTCCAGCATCATTTATTGAATCAGTGGTCCTTTCCCCTGTGTATGTTTTTTTCTGTTTCGTTGAATACCAGTTGGTTGTAGATGTATGGTTTTACTTCTGGATTCTCTATAGCATTCCATTGATCTTTTATACCAGTATGATGCTGTTTTGATTATTATAGCCTTGTGGTATAATTTGAAGCCTGATGATGTGATGCCTATAGATTTGTTCTTTTTGCTTAAGATTGCTTTGGCTGTTCAGGCTCTTTTTTGATTCCATATGAAATTTAGAATTGTTGTTTCTAACTCTGTGAAAAATGATAGTGGTATTTTGATGGGAATTGCATTGAATCACTTTGGGAATTATGGATATTTTGACAATATTGGTTCTTCCAATCAATGAGCATGGGATGTTTCTCAATTTGTTTGTGTCATCAGTGATTTCTTTCATCAGTGTTTTGTAGCTCTCCTTGTAGAGATCTTTCACCTCTTTGGTTATGTATATGCCTAGGTGTTTTATTTATTTATTTTTTGCAGCTATTGTAAATGGGATTGAGTTATTGATTTGATTCCCAGCTTGGCTTCTATTATACAGAAATGCTACTGACTTGTGTATATTAATTTTGTGACCTGGGACTTTACTGAATTTATTAATTCCAGGAATTTTCAGGAATTTTGGGGATATTCTAGATATAAGGTAAGATCATTGGGAAACAGGGATGGTTTGACCTTCACTTTCCCTATTTGGATACCCATTATTTCACTCTCTTGTCTGACTGCTTTGGCTAGAACTTCCAGGACTATGTTGAATAAAAATGATAAAAGTGGGCATCCTTGTCTTATTCAAGTTCTTAGGGAGAATGCTTTCAACTTTACCCCATTCAGTATTGTGTTGGCTGTGGGTTTGTCATTCATATATGGCTTTTATCATGAAAGGCTGTTGGATTTTATCGAATGCTTTTTCTGTGTCAATTGAGATGATCATATGGTTTTTGTTTTTAATTTTTAATTCTGTTTATGTTGTGAATCACATTTATTGATATGGATATGTCGAACCATCCTTGCATTCCCTGGGATGAAACCCCACTTGATTGTGGGAATTATTTTCTGGATGTGCTGATGAATTTGATTTGCTAGTATTTTGTTGAGGATTTTTGCATTTATGTTCATAAGGGATATTGGTCTGTCATTTTCTTTTGTTATCATGTCCTTTCCTGATTTGGGTATCAGGGTGATACTGGCTTGGTACAATGAGTTAGGGAAGATTCTCTCCTTCTCAAAGTTATGGAAGAGTTTCAGTAGGATAGATAGCAATTTTTCTTGGTAGGTCTGGTAGAATTTGATTGTGAATCCATCTAACCCTGGGCTTTTTTTATTGTGAGTTTTTTTTTTATTACTGATTCAATTTCCCTACTTGATATTGGTCTGTTCAGGATTTCTGTTTCAAGTTTAGGAGGTTGTGTGTTTCCAAAAATTAATTCATTTCCTCTAGTTTTTCTACTTTGTGAGAGTACAAGTTTTTATTGTAGTCATGGATTATCTATTATATTTCTGTGGTATCAGTGGTAATGTCTCCATTTTCATTTCTGATTGAGTGTATTTGAATCCTATCTCTTCTTTTCTTATTTAATCTGGCTAGTAGTCTGTCCATTTTTTTTTTTTGTCTTTTCACAGAACCACCTTTTCATTTCCTTGATCCTTTGCATTGTTTTTGGTTTAAAATTTGTTTAATTCTGCTCTGATGTTTATTATTTCTTTTCTTCTGGTGGCTGTAGGTTTGGCTCCTGGTGGTGTGAGAACTTTAGGTTATTATTTGTAAATTTGTGATATTTCTGTAGTAGGCATTTAGTGCTATGAACTTCCTTCTTAGCACTACTTTTTCTATATCCCAGAGATTTCGATAGCTTGTGGTGCAATTGCCATTTAATTTGAAATTCTTTTTTATTTTCATCTTGATTTTATTATTGTCTCAAAGACTGTTCACCAGCAGGTTGTTTAGCTGCCATGTTTTTGTACAGTTTTGAGAATTCCTCTTAGAGGTGATTTCTAGTTTTATTCCACTTTAGTCTGAGAAGATACGTGGTTTGATATTGATTTTTTTAAAATTGCTAAGACTTGTTATGTGGCCTAATATATGATCTCTCTTGGAAAATGTTCCATATGCTGATGAGAAGAATTTATATTTTGCCATTTTTGGGTAGAATGTTCTGTAAATTTCTGTTAGGTCCATTTGTTCTAGAGTCCTGTTTAAGTCCAGTATTTCTTTGTTGATTTCCTGCCTTGATGATCTGTCTAGTTATGTCAGTGGAGTGTTGAAGTCCCCTACTATCATTATGTTATTATTTATTTCATTTCTTAGGTCTAGAAATATTCATTTTATGAATCTGGAAGCTTTGGTGTTAGGTGCATATATATTTAAGATTGTTATATTTTCTTATTGAATTGATTCCTTTATCATTATATAATGAACATCTTTATCTTTTTTCATTGTTGTTAAAGTCCATTTTATGTGGTATAAGAACAGCTACTCCTGCTCACTTTTGGTGTCCATTTGCTTGCAATATTTTTTTCCACTCTTTTGCCTTGAGTCTATGTGACTCTATATGAGTGAAATGCTTTCCTTGGAGACAACAGATGTTTTGGGATGTGTTTTTACATCCATTTTGTCAATTTATATCTTTTAAGTGGGGTATTAAAACCATTTACATTCAATATTAGTATTGAAAAGGAAGGTGCTGTTTGAATCATCATGTTGATTGTTACCTGTTTGCTTCCTTTTTTATAATTTCAAAATATTACAGGAGTACAAATATTTTTGGTTATCTGTATCAATTTTGCTAGGCTTCAGTCAGGGTTGTAAGTGTGCTCATCACCCAGATACTGTTCATTGTACCTGTTAGGTAGGTTTTAGCCCATCCCCCCTCCCTGCTTGATTTACACTGAGTTTTACTTCTCTCTGTGTACATGTGTGCTCATCAGTTAGTTCTGCCCATTTTCTTTTAGGTGACTAGGTTGGAATAATATCATGAGAAAAATAGTGGAAAAGTGCCAACTTTGGCATTTATGGTAAAGAGGCAGATAGTTTGACAGATACAGTATGTGGGGGATGTATTCTTTTTAGTAAATTAATGTTACCAAAAAAATGAACATAGGAAGATGTATAATTAATTTCTGCTATGTGTCAAATTCTGAAATGTTAACTATGACTATCAAATTCTGAAATGAAAACAGTGAAGCATGTGAAAATGGGAAAATGTATCCTTATCCCTTTTGTATAATACAAACAGTGTTGCTATTGTTTATACAGTTTAAATTATTAAATGACTACAAATGAATAAATTGTATGATAAATCAGACTATATCATAAGAATTAATTAATTGCCAATTAAAATTTTAGATTACCAGACTACTCTAGCCTATTAATTTACATCTTCAATGCATATGAACAATTATCATATTTAAGGGAATATGGGTCCTTTTGCTTAGGAAATATATTAATATAGATTGCCACTTAATTAATTAGTTATTGCTAATATAGTTTTTATTTCATGTATTAATAACAGTGTTAACAAATAATACCATATAATTGGCTTAATACCTTATACTCATATATTATTGAGATTACAACCTGGTGGTTATGAAATAAAACAAGAATTGATGCCTGCATTTGACATTAGAGTAGGCCTAATAACTCACCCCTAATATATTTAAACAATGAATGCAGATCCATCATACTTACCTAGATATTCCTATAATCCACTCTTTTTCAATTTTAATATTTCATTGGCTTAAAGCTTTTTACTTCTATATCGTATTTGAAAATTTTACTCTTTTATGAATATATGTTTATCTCAAATGACAAAACAATGTTGATGAGCTTCATTGCAAACTTATTATTTATTGTGCCACTTGTATTGATAAAAATAAATGAAATACTTTTTTATAACCTCTTTCAACATGTTTTTGGAATTCACAGGTCGGTGGAATTTTTGATGAATTGCCTAACTTGACTAACAAATATGCTGTTTTCCTGTCAAGAGCAGAAAGAACTACTAAAGTGCCAGATATGGTAAGAAGACTCCTCTAATTAAACCTATTTGTAATCTAGGAATTATGGAGGGGACTGCATAACATAAACATTATATTAGGACCTGAGGTAGGTAACTGGTAGCCTATTGTACCATCTTTGGCTAACCTGATGCTTCCATATTTTTAAAGTTCAACAAAATTGTTGAAGCTAAACAGAAGTTCAACATTGCTCTATGAGAGACTATTACATGGAATATCACTTGTTGGGTTAGAGAACAGTCATTTTTAGGACATAGATGAAAGCTAAACTCACTGTATTGTATATGGAGTGGAAGATTTTACTTTAGGTACAACTAATTGTACTAATAATGTAAATTTTTTCCCTTTTCAATTTGGATCTATCTTAAAATTTAAGACTCCTCAGTGAATTTTTTCATTCCTGTTAACCTGTATGTTGAATTGTGTTGCTATAAATTTTTCTAACTGAATTTCCATTTTTTTTTTTTTTTTTTTTTGAGACAGAGTCTCACTGTGTTGCCTGGGCTAGAGTGCCGTGGCGTCAGCCTAGCTCACAGCAACCTCAAACTCCTGGGCTCAAGCAATCCTTCCTGCCTCAGCCTCCCGAGTAGCTGGAACTACAGGCATGCACCACCATGTCTGGCTAATTTTTTCTATATATATATTTTTTAGTTGTCCTATTAATTTCTTTCTAATTTTTAGTAGAGACGGGGTCTCGCTCTTGCTCAGGCTGGTTTCGAACTCCTGAGCTCAAACAATCCGCCCGCCTCGGCCTCCCAGAGAGCTAGGATTACAGGCGTGAGCCACCGCGCCCAGCCCTGAATTTCCATTTTTATAAAGAGCTAATATTGAAAAAATAAAGCAGATTAAATTTAAATATGAATAGTTGACTATTTCATTCAGAATGAATTTATAAAAATACCAAAGTATCACACCTATAATTCCAGCACTTTGGGAGGCTGAGTTGGGAGGATAGCTTGAGGCCAGGAGTTTGAGACCAGCCTAGGCAGCATAGCGAGACCTTATCTCTATAAAATATAAAAAAATTAGCCAGGTGTTGTGGAGTGTGCCTTAGTCTTAGCTACTTGGGAGACTGAGGCAGGAGGATCACTTTAGCCCAGGAGTTTGAGGTTATAGTGAGCTATGATCGTGCTGCCACTGCACTCCAGCCTGGATGACAGAGTGAGATGCTGTATCAAAAAACAAAACAAAACAAAGCAAAACAAACCAAAACGAAGTAAAATTTAGAGTTAAAACGTTAGACCCAATGCTAATGTTGCTGTGGTCTCAATGTTTGTGTCCCCCCAAAATTCATATGCTGAAATTCTAATCCCCAAGATAATGGTATTGGGAGGTGGAAACTTCTGGGAGGTGATTAGGTCAGAAAGGTGGAGCCCTTATTAATGGGATTAGTACCCTTATAAAACAGGGCCAAGGGAGCTTGTTGGCCCCTCCACCACATGAAGACAGAGAGAGTGTGCTGTCTGTGCAGAAGCAAGCCCTAACTGGAAGCTGAATCTAGTTGTTCCTTGCTCTTGGGCTTCCCAGCTTCCAGAATTGTGAGAAATAAATTTCTGTTGTTTATAAGCTACCCAGTTTATGATATTTTGTTATAGGAGCCCAAATAGACAAAGACAAGTGTGATTAAAGTAGCCTTGTGTGAACAAGGTGATGTTAAAAGTAATTTTTTTTTTTCGTAGAACTGGACCATTTTCACAAGATTTTATTAATAGCAAATTACTAAAACAGGATCATTAACCAGGGTTTAAAATGTAGCTAGTCAACTTAAGGAAAGCATTGCTTGGCTGAAATAAAATTCTGCTAGGTAAGATAAGGCCAAGAATTGATTTATAATGTTTTCGACGGTGAAATAACTGGTACAAAATCAGGATGAACTAATTTAAGGAAAGAACAAATGCAATGTTAGTTAACACAACTGTCAATGTCTAGGAAATCATAGAAATTAGATTAATTTGGTGAGAGACATTCAGGATTAGACTTATTTTTCTTCTGAGGTATTAATTGACTGAATCTGAGATATGGTCAAAATTAGCATTAGGTTTTATGGGTTTTTTTGTAACTATAAATTCAAAAGACAGTTTACAATCATCTAGCAATGTTCTTGACATTCTCAGATTCTTAGTAATTGTTAAATAAATATGCTGTTTTAATAGATCATTTCTTCCTTTTGAGGAATTTTAGGTTTTAATTGTATTTCTCAAGAGAGTCATTGTCATGTACACCTTAGTATCTGCTGTGAAGTATACCATAAGTAATTTATTACTAATATAAAGCTTTTAAGCTTAGGAATTTCTATCTTAGAAATAAGCTTAGTTATTTCTATCATAATATTAGTAATATAGGTACTAGGAATAAACAATGGAAATCACTGAAGGCACCCATAGGAATGTGTGTGTGTGTGTGTGTATATATATATA